CTTTTGCTCGAAAGTCATATGCTAGAGAGATTCAAATGAAAATATTCCATTATAATGGAGTTCCACCAATTATGTTTATGAAGGAGGCAGAACATCTAGATATTGAACACGATGATGCTCTTGTAGTTTCCTTTAGGATCGTAAATGTCTTGATAAAAAACATCATGTTTGACAATTGGAGCTTTGGAGATATTTTATATGATGATGCCTTCTAGAAGATTAGTCTAACAACAAGGGACCTCCAATCAAAATCTTTGACCCCCACTTGCTTTACAAGAGATTTTATCACTCCCTTGAGACTATTGATCTTTATGTGACCTTTGGGTATGACGATTGTTCAAATATCTTGAAGACAATATTCCTAGTTGTTAACATCCCATTAGTATACAATGCCATTGTGGGTTGGCCTATGCTCAATCGATTAAGGGCATTTGTGTCAACATACTATATCACACTAAAGTTTTTAACTAGTTCAATAATTGAATAATTAAAAGGTGACTCATGAGAATCCGGACAATGCTACTTAACATCAGTCACCCTCTTGAAAAAGATAACATTATCAGTATAGTAGATGGACGCTCGAGATCCCACCACGCCAGCACAATCGTAAGTGAGTGTGGCACGTGTTCTGATGTCGTATCACTCCCGAATTTACACAACCACAGAGGAGGATATCGTGTGTGACAGATGACTCTACCATTGTGCCCTACCAAGTCAGCCCATCGTGTGTCACTACATCCAACGTAGTTGGTCCATCATGCGCCACCGTGCTTGGCCTAGTCAATCTATCGTGTGCCATCACACCCAATTGAGTCAGCCCATTGTGCACCATCGCACCCGGCCAAGTTAACCCATTGTGTGCCACCATGCTCGGCCCAATCAGCCCGCCCACTAGGCATCGCCACACGTAGTCTAGTCGGGCATGCGACATCATCGACTCATCGAGTATCACTATCAACCACAAGGACCCCTCCACTTCTCGACCTAATTCCACTATATTTTCTAGCTCGAGAAGTGGGGTAGGGCATGTGTTATAGAAAAAAAAGATGTGATTGACATGTTGACGCCATGTGATCGACATGTACGGTCAACACATCGACACTACATCACTCTAATATGCTAGAACCATGTGACAAACATGTCGGCCACACTGATGACTTGACTCCACACAACTGAGCTGATACATTAGTGCCATATAGCCATTGACTCGACCCCATGAGGCTAACATGGTCGAGCTATGTGGTTGACATATTGATGACATGCGACGGATATTGTAATCTAACATGACTAACGAGTCAAATACGTAAAATCAACACCTTACACTACATCATAGTCAATGTAAAATTATTCATTAGTTAAAACTATGATACGAAAATATCAAT